AAGGCAGAAGGAAGCATAGAATGGAAGGATAAGGGAAATGACAGCGTAGGTTGGAAGGACAAGACGGCAAATGATAATGTAGGATGGAAGTACAAGGCAAATGACAGGTAGGATAGGACATAAAGACAAATGACAGCGTAGGATCCTTGGCTGGTGTGGACAGAGCGGAGGCGTTCACAGTATTAATCCACTGCCTACTTAGCATACTTGCTGATTTCTTCCGTCTCCGGACAGCCTTCAAGTGATCCAGTCACTTGTTCCACACACACACACACACACACACACACACACACACACACACACAACACACACACACACACACACACACACACACACACACACACACACAAAGAGAAGCCAGTTGTTTATCGACAAGTGTTTTTGATAGCCGATAACCAACTTGAACATGTACACACACAGAAAGCGGCAAAGTGCTTAAAGGGAGGGTCGGAACCTATAGCTCAACCTCAGCAAGCTTAAGTGTTTCTCTCACGTTAACCATCGCTGGATATTCTCTTCCATCTAGCTGCTTGATAACCTGATACAAAGGTCCGGTCTTAGTCATACTAGCTTTTTTGGGTTATCTTTCAATATAGTGGCTGGTGAGTAAGCTTCTTGCCTCGCACTTCAAGAGGGTGGGCAGAGGAAGTTCATTTAGCATCATTTTTTTGGTACGTGTCTTCTTTATCAGTGAAAAGAAGTGTTTTGTAATTGTGTCCCCTCGAGTCTCGCCAAGTTTGTCTTCATGGTTAAAAAGGCACACGCTACTGAGCAAGCTCCTGTATAGATGTCGCTCTATACAGAGCAAAACATTGTCCCAGTATAAGCTTGCTTTGCAAAGTATTGCTAACAGTTTGCCATTTTGATCCAAGCTTTTCTTGGTCACCAACTTCGGTTTAAAAAATGAAAAGTCAGTCTGGACATAGAGGGCTGCAGTAAGTACACGGAGGAAAGAGCCTGCAGCACTCCTTGCTCTGAATAACCCACACGGGCTTAGCTACTTCATCTTGGCGCCAGAAGTGGGTTCATACCTTTACTTAGTTTAGCGCTTCATTTTTTATTATAATACCGACGAGCCTGGCCCATGGCCGGGCTCAGAGAGTAGAGAAACTCTCGAAAGTCTTCAAAGGTATTCAAAGGTATTTACTTCGATGTTTTCAGATCGTCACCGCATCAAGTCACGTTAATGTAAACAAAATGTCAGTATGAGTGGACTGTGCGTAACAAACCATACCCCCGGCCGGGATTGAACCCGCGGTCATAGTCTCAAAACTCCAGCCCGCGGGTTCAATCCCGGCCGGGGGTATGGTTTATTTGCAATCGTGTCATTACGATTTCTTGAGTCGGGTTATAACATTTTATTGCAAAGACATTTCGCCCACCAGGGCGAACTGATAAAGTCCCTGAAGGACGAATCATCATCTCAATAAAATTCTATAACCCGGATTGTGTCTTATTTATATACTGTCTATATACCCTACTACTATATTATAATTGGTAGACTATAACAATAAATATAACATCGAGAAGGCTCAAGATAAGTTAACTAAAGTCTGTACAGTTATATAGCGTGTCTGACTTTCGATTACCTGACAGAGGCTCAAGCCTTCACTGCTCCTTGGACTGAATGACCCATGTGAGTAGAGCGTTTGACATTAATAATAATAATAATACCTAGAATCTTAGAGCTCAGAAGTGAGCCATTGGATTTCTGGTGCTGGCTATCAAGCATATTCTCAACAGTAAGGTTGTTGTCAACCATCATGATTGCTCTAGCTATAGTCGGCGCAGCTGATGCACTCTCTGACAGCCACATGATGGGCACAGGTTTTTGCTCGCTCTTGTCCGGATCTGCACAAGCGGTGGTTTTTACACCGAGAAAGTGAGATTTACACCATGAAAGCTTACCAGACCAAAACCACTAGCTTGTGTGAATGCACCAGGAAGCAGCGGGCCTCTTAACGCTGCCCAGGGACGAACCAGAGCTTCACACGCCACAGGAATCAAGACTACAAATGTTTATTTCGACTCTCTGACGGCTGGCAGAGAATCCTATGCTCCGGAATACGAACAAGTAATGTAGGACAGCAAGGCCTTGGCAGGTGGCTCAGGAGGGTAATGTTGTACTACGCCCTGGAAGTGAGGTTCAGCCTGCTTTGTTTACCGCGTGCTTGGGGCCCCTCAGGTGCTCGTACATAATTTCTGGCCTGGCAAGCAGCGCCCGCCGACCACACCCTGCTTGACCCTCGTATATTGCCTTGATATTTGGCGGTGTGATGTTCTGCAGGGTGTGTGGCGAGGCTGTAACGGGCCGATGGTGTGTCGAGCTGTCGCCTCCCTCGCCCTGCTTCTCTCCCTGTGTGGCACAGGATGGTAATTTTGATTTGGTATATCACTGAGCCCCGCATCACCAGCTCATAGCTCAACACAACAAAAGCTCCTGGGTTTTGAGAGCACCTGGCGTCTCTTGTGAACCTGTAATAAAGAAATCTAACATCTCGTTAGTAAAAGGGCACATACAGGAGAGTGGGAAAATTCAGAAAGCAGTCCCAGTGCTCAGGCAAATGGAGCTTGAATCTTTTGCATGTATTCTGAAGCACTTAGAGTGGAAAGAAGTCTTCAGAGGAAGTCAACAAGGAGGATCAGTTGTGACTTAAAAAATCTGCTGAAATTCTTTAACGGGCGTAGAACAGGAAACATATAAAGCAGGAAAGCATGTGACATGGTGACCTAACGGAAGGATATCCAGAAACTAGGGAACAGGTAGACATAAGGAAAAACACTACAAAAACAAATACTTATGATAGTGAGGGCGAGGAAAGAGGTGTGTGTGTGTGTGTGTGTGTGTGTGTGTGTGTGTGTGTGTGTGTGTGTGTGTGTGTGTCTTGTGTGTGTGAATCCTTTGGTCTATTCTGCTTGTCATGACTTTTGTTCACACGTAAGCCTAAAAGGCTTCCACAAGAAAAGGCTATAATCACCTATTACTCCTTATCAAAATAGGATTCCCAATCTGAAATTCGAGCCTATACGACTACCATCAACTGGAACCGATGTTCACTTGTTTGAAGCCACAAACACGTCCAACACTCCTTCACAGTCTTGAATTCAACAGAAAAGGAGAATTCTTAATTTGACTAGTGGCCGAGACCAGTGGAAGTATGGTGTGTGTGTGTGTTTGTGTGCGTGTGCGTGCGCGCGCGCGCGTGTGCGTGTGCGCAGTGGTGTAGAACGGGTGACCACCGCCCACATCCAGCAAGCTGCTGATACAGTGAGAGCACCTACTATTACCACACCTACGCCGTCACACCTACTACCACACCCACGTTACTACTGCTACATGCACAACAACACCCGCACTATTACACCCACATATCCTTACAAACACCACCCACATAACTAAATCTGCAATGCACACACTAAATCAACCATAACACCCACACTGCTGCTCCCACACCATTACCATAGCTTCCACACCCATATCAAACCAACATCACACACCTCAGCCTAAAAAAAAAAATATACGTCCATAACTGCAACGTCATTTATTTACGTACTATGCGAGTAACAGATCACAGAATGGGTGTGGCTCGAACCCATGGCGAAGAAGTTGCAAAACTCGCAGGCCAGTGTGCTAAAAACTAGTCCACGTTAACCTAACCAGTGGATAGTACACTGACCTACGAGTACTAGGACTCACTAGCCACGGGTTCGAGTCCAACCTGTGCTATGATTTATTTTCAATTATATTATGGTTTTGAGAGCCAAGGCGTACCAGTAGCTTTATTTACAAAGACACCTGTGCACTATTGCTATGTAATTCTGTACAAACGACTAAATATAATGAAAATGGGTTAATGACTCAAGCAGAAGTCTAAAAGACAATAAAACGCTACTGCAAAAAGCACTGTATTACAAGTCACAGAGGGACGATAAAACCACTATTGTATTGCAGAAGCCACAAAGAGACGATAAAACATTATTGTATTGCAGGAAACCACAAAGAGACAAACACTATTGTATTGCAAGAAGCCACAATGAGACAAAAATAAAAAACTATTGTATTGCAAGAAGCCACAAAGAGACGATAAAACATTATTGCAAGAAGCCACAATGAGACAAAAATAAAATACCATTGTATTGCAAGAAGCCACAAAGAGACGATAAAACATTATTGTATTGCAGGAAGCCACAAAGAGACACTATTGTATTGCAAGAAGCCACAAGGAGACAAAACTAAAAACCTATTGGATTGCAAGAAATCTCAAAGCGACAATAAAACACTGCATTGCATTGTATTTCATGAAGCACTAAACTAGTGTGGGTTATTCGGCAGATTTTATGGATGAAGTTCGATCCTCCGTTCGGTAATCGAGGGCAGAGGTCTCTGACCAGCCAGGCTGTTGGTAATAGAAGTTGGTCAGTCCCTTTCCTTCATTGAAAGGAAAGAAAAGGGGCGGGTGTTGATGGCGGAAAAGGACTCTTGATTCAAGAAACTGGAGATGCCTTTTATCCTTGGATCAAACTTGATTAACTCCCATTCCCGAGGTGTTGTACGAGTCTTACCAGTTTAGTGCTTCGCAAAGGTAAAATGTACGTTTTTTTCACTTCTCCGAAGAGGGTATCAATATGAGAGCGAAACCTCCAGGTCCCTTAGGAAAGACAAGAGCAGCAGAGTCAAGCTTTATTAGCTGACGTTTCGCTCACAGAGGTGAGACTTTTCGATTCAAAACTTAAAAAAAAAATACGAAAAACTTGCAGTTTTGAGAGAAAACTTTAGACAACCTTTCGGTCCAGCCAGAACCATTATCAAGTTACGACTTGAAGAAGCGCTCCTCCGACCGAAACGTTGCACGTAGTGTGCAGTTAGCGCATCCCGCAGATGCTTCTACCGTGTTGTCTTGAATTCGTTGCTAACTACGAATTAATTTGTTAATTTCTTAATTGATAAAGCATAATTATGAATTGTTAATGATGTATTTTTTCGTTTTTTTTTTTTACAGAGCAAAATGAACGTCACACCTGACCAGCACAACTCCTCGTCACCCATGCATAAAGGTAAGACTATTTTACATTAATTTCTTGGTGATGGGTCGATAACATAAAGTTTACCGATAACGATACCATCAAATTCAGTCGTTACTCCCGCTTACCGATACTTGGACACACCCATAACTCACGCATCGAGAATGGGAGGTAACGAGGTTTTATTCAAGAAATGATAGGTAGGTTCCAGTTACATGAACAACCCTTTAACGGCAGTCAAAGCGTCATCTTTAAGGGTTCAAAACCTGCAAGTCAGAGCAATATTTAACCCTTATACACATGATAAAAAAATGAAGGTAATAACTCTCATTACACATGTTCTTAACATGAAAATTATGTAACATGTGTACGTCACATAACTTTCATGTTCAGAACATGTGGAATGTGTGTTCGTATCTTTACTTGCGACGTTGTTATGGTGTAACATCGATACTGCAACGAGTTATAGCGTTAGTTACGTTTTTGTTATGGTCTGGATATGTTTAGTTACGTTCTAGTCATGTTTACGTTACGTTTGTATATTTTTAGTTACGTTAAAGTCACGTAATAGTTGTTTTTAGTTACGTTTTAACTGTTTTAGTTATGCATTAGTTGCGTTCTAGTAATGTTCTGGATATGTTTATGTTCAGTTTTTGTCCTAGGAATGTTTTAGTTATGTTTAAGGTGTGTTCTCGTTGTTTTAGTTATTTAGTTATTCTCTAGTTACGCTTCTGTCACATGAAAGTTATTTTCTGATAAGGTTGCAGGTACTGCTGGCACTCAGGAGTTTCTCTCTCACGTTTCTCTTCCCCCACTCATTGTTGTTTCATCCTTTCACTTGTTTTTCCCCCTTCTTTTATCCTGCTTATTTTCATAATTTTCCTCGTAGCTTCTCATCAGTTTCACAATTTTCCTTCTTTATTTATTTCCCTCTCGCTCACTTACCTCTCTTACCCATGTCACCCGAACCTGGGGCTTCTTATCTAGTGCCCCGTTGAAATCTCCCACGATGGAAAATTATTATTATTATTATTATTTTTTAAATTAACCCCAAATGGCTCATATAGCGCTATGTTGGGGAGAGAGAGAGAGAGAGAGAGAGAGAGAGAGAGAGAGAGAGAGAGAGAGAGAATGAATTTAAAATAATCCAATCTCACACCATATAATTTCCGTCATATGATTTGTTGTGTTACCTTGTCCTTGTCTTGGTCCCGTCCCATCACTCTCAGGTGAGGGGAATGGTCGTCCACTTACTCTCAGGTGAGGGGAATGGTCGTCCACTTACTCTCAGGTGAGGGGAAAATGGTCGTCCCCTCATCCTCAGGTTCCAGGGGATGGATAAATGGGGGATTGACTTAGAGGTTGTGTGGGGAAATGTATATGAGATTGTGAGTGGAAAGCGTGTGTGAAATTGTGTGTGGAATTATGAGAGGGATTTGATAGTTATGAAGATTGTGGGGATTGTGTGTGGAATTGTACAAATAACTGAATTAATGTGTGGTATTGTGGGAGATTGTTTGCAAGGTTGTATATGGAAGGATTTGTAGAGAATTTCGTGAAATATTGCGAGGGATTTTTTTAAGAGACTGGAATGGAGTGTTTGTACGATTGGGGAGCGTGCGTATGGGATTGTACGGGACTCCATTCGAGTTTTGGGAAGTGTCTATGGAATTGTGCGTCAAATTGTGAATAAATGTTTGTGGAAGTGGGAAGTGTGTTTGGGGGCTGGGGAGTGTGTGTGTGGGCTGGGGAGTGTGTGTGTGGGCTGGGGAGTGTGTGTGTGGGCTGGGGAGTGTGTGTGGGGGCTGGGGAGTGTGGGTGGGGGCTGGGGAGTGTGTGGGGGCTGGGGAGTGTGTGAGGGCTGGGGAGTGTGTGTGAACTGGGGAGTGTGTGGGGACTGGAGAGAGTGCGGGGACTGGGGAGTGTGTGGGGGCTGGGGAGTATGTGTTGGGTCTGGGAGTGTGTGTGTGTGGGGGGGAGCTGTGGAGTGTGTGTGGGCTGGGGGTGTGAGCGGATGCTGGGGAGTGTGTGGGGGGCTGGGGAGTGTGTGTGTGTGTGTGTGTGGACTGGAGGGTGCGTGTGCGCTGGGGAGTGTGTGTGGGCTGGGGGGTGTGAGCAGATGCTGGGGAGTGTGTGGGGGCTGGGGAGTGCGTGTGGTGGCTGGGAGTGTGTGTGGGGGCTGGGGAGTGTGTGTGGGGGATGTGGGGGCTGGATATGTGTGGGGGCTGGGGAGTGTGTGATGGAGCTAGGGAGTGTGTGAGGGCTGGGGAGTATGTGTGAGGGCTGGGGAGTGTGTGAGGAGGGCTGGGGAGTATGTGTGGGGGCTGGGGAGTATGTGTGGGGGCTAGGGAGTGTGTGAGGGAGCTGGGGAGTGTGTGAGGGAGCTGGGGAGTATGTGTGAGGGCTGGGGAGTGTGTGGGGGCTGGGGAGTGTGTGGGGTGGGCGTGTGTGGGGGCTGGGGAGTGTGTGAGGAGGGCTGGGGAGTGTGTGAGGAGGGCTGGGGAGTGTGTGAGGAGGGCTGGGGAGTGTGTGTGGGGGGGGGCTGGACAGTGTGTGGGGATTGGATTTGTTTTCTAATTTTGCAAAATTGGATACATCGACAGTGTGCTGCTATTTTACACAGTGTTAAGACAAGCTAGCTATGTTTCCCTATTATCTTCCATGAGAGGGTGTGTGGAGAGAAGAGTATGTATGGAAGTGAGAGGCAGGGAGGTGAGAGGCAGGCAGATGAGAGGCAGGCAGATGAGAGGGAGGGAGGTGAGAGTCCTGATATAACCCCGTGCTCAGTGTTATGAAAGCACCTGAGAGCGCCTCATTTCCTTCACTGATCATACCTTCTGTTTAAGATTATCTATATATATATATATATATATATATATATATATATATATATATATATATATATATATATATATATATATATATATATATATATATAATATTTATTTATTATAGAGTGAATGTGAGCGTGCGTGCGCGCACGCTAGACCATAGGAAAGGGAAAGGCAAAAAAGATTGAAAAGGAGGGGGAGAATGAAAGAGGCTTGAGGAGAAAAGGGAGGCGAAGAGACATAGGGGCAGGTGTGAAGGGAAGGGAGTTAAATAGAATGAAGGGGACCTGAGAGACATAGGGGGGGAAGGGGTTAACTGTGTAGGGGTGGAGGAGGGTCATAGGGAAAAGGGGAAAGATCTGGGAGGAAGAGGGAGTTAGGAGGAGTGAATAGACTTAGGTGGTGGGAAAGGTGCAAGAGAAAGTGATAACAGGAGACACAAGGGAAGAACAAAACTATGCGAAAGTGAGACTTAATGAAACATTTTTATTTTTAGAAGTGAAACTTGAGATATAAATAAAAAAGAGACACTTATCTATCTAGCCTACTTTGAGATCGGGGCCCCCCCGGGGCCCGATCTCAAAGTAAGCTTCTTCTGTGGCTAACCTGGTCAACCAGGGTGTTGTTGCCAGACGCACGTAATCACTACAGATCGACTGATCAGGCACTGACCTGAGAAACGTGTCCGGTTCTTGAAGACAGGAACCTCTTGGTAATCCTCCTTTTTGTACGAAGGGAGAACATTGAAAAGTCTTGTTCCCTACAAACTTAAGTTTTTCTTTAAGATTACACATTGCATATTGGTTTTATTGGTGAGGGGCGCGGTTGTTTTACACTTTCTGCAAAGCCAAGATATAAGTAAGAGGACGGGAAACGTAGAAAAAAAAAGTCACAGGAGGAATAAAGAGAAGTATGAGAAAGGTGGAGAAATATGAACATTTTTTTCCTTATTTAGCAAAACTGTGTGTGTCCTGTTTGTCAGAATTCTTGGATCTAAGTTAGAAGCTTCCCTCTGACACACAAGCTGCTCAACTGTTGCAAGGTCAGTTTTCTGGTGGCTGTGTCAAAGGCAGATCTGAGGACAATAAACGTTGCGTTCCTGTCACATTCCTTCCTGATCAAGTATTTATCTTAGGAAGCTCGAGTGCTTTTACCAGGTTGGAACCCATAGACATTGAGGTAAATTTGATGTATTTGGACATTAAGCTGTTGAGATCAATTCTTTCGAAGATTTCGCATATGCAGGAAGTTAATGAGATGGATCTAAACTAGTGAGAGTTTAGCTTTTGGAGTTATGAGAATGTTTCAAGCAGACAGGAAGGACACCATCCAGCAACCTGAACCTTAACAGATCAATGAGATAGATCTTTTGCAGAAAAATCTGCGGATGGGTTAAGTTGTGCCATCTTTCCCAGGTGAAGTGAATTTGCCTTTGTGTTAATGCAGTTTGAAGCTCGAAGGGGGTTATACCTCAGTTATATAATATGTTTATCGTTTGACAAGCATTAATAATCATGAACTTCCCACTGATACTATTGTTGATACGACACAGAGAGATTGACCAACTCCTACACAATGCTAAGGGACTGATCACCTAATAATTACCTCTCCTCTTCTACTGTTTTCAGTATTGTAGACGCCTTTGTACTCGACTGATGAGGCCAACTGCTTCGGGTTTCGTAAATAAAGATACCCAAGTGTTATAAATGTGTCTTGCTCCTATCATCTTATCGGTATTGCATAATTTGAATACTATTTATAAACTGGTATTATTGTTTACGTTGGTCATGTAAAGCTGAATGTCATGGAAAGAGCTTTGCATACTTTATATATATCCGTATTGGTCATGTATCATAAGGGGAGATGAACAGGGGAAAGGGAGAGACATAATGGAAAGAGACGCGAGAGGGAAAGATACAGGGGAAATGGAGATAGATGGAAAGAGAGATACGAAGGGGGAAGAGAGAGAGAGAGAGAGAGAGAGAGAGAGAAGAGAGAGAGAGGTTTGAGGGAAGAAGAGATCTAAGGAAAAAAAAGTAGAATCGTAAGGGAAGTGAGAAACATTAAGGTAGAATGAGGGAGAGACACGACAATAAGAGGAGAAAGAGACATAAGCATAGAGAGGGAGAAACACTGGGATATAGAAGAGAAAGACACTAGAGTAGGGAAGTGACATAGGAAGAGACTTAAGTAAGACACATA